CTTTTTTTTTTTTTTTTTTTTTTTTTTTTTTTTTGCCCTAAAAGGTTCAAAGCAGGACTATTATAGTTAAGTGAAACTAGGCTAAAACCATTAAAAAAAAAATGTTACTTGAAATAAAATATATGTATAAAAAACCTAAATCAGAAGTTCAATCTGGTGTTTCAATCAGACCCATTGCCACATGTGTATAAACTCAAGCACCTAGCCATGCAGTCTTCATTTACAAACATTTGTGGGGAAACAAAAAGTGTCATTCTTAAGAGCTCAGTGAATTCAAATGTGGAACTGTGATTGGATGCCACTTTTGCAATAATTTGCAATACAATAATTGCAATTGTTTTTTGAAAATTCATCCCTGCTCGATATTCCACGGTCAATTGTAAGTGATATTATTGGAATATCAGCTGAGTAACTGTGCCCCGAAAGCTTCATGGAATGGGTTTATGTAGCTCCATGCAAGCCTCACCAAGTACATGTAATGCACATCACCACTGGACTCTGGAGCAGTGGAAACCTGTTCTGTGGAGTGACAAATCTGTTTGGCAGTCTGATGGGTGAGATGGATGGTGGATGCCAGGAGAATGTTACCTGCTTGACTGCATTATGCCAACTGTACAGTTTTGTGGAGGAGGGATAATGGTATGGGGCTGCTTACTTCCAGTGAAGGGAAAACTTAATGATTCAGCAAACCAAGACATTTTGGACAATGCCATGCTTCCAACTTTGTGGGAACAGTTTGGGGTAGGCCCTTTTCTACTCCAGCATGACTGTGCCCGAGTGCACAAAGCAAGGTCCAAAAAGACATGGTTAGATGAGTTTGGTGTGGAAGAACTTGACCCTCACAGAGTCCTTACCTCAAATCCATCAAACACCTATGGGATGAACTGGAACGGAGATTACGAGCCAGGCCTTCTTGTTCAACATCACAGCCTAACCCCACAAATGCTGTGGAAGAATGGGCAAAAATTCCCACACAAACACTCCAAAATAACATTAAGTGATGGTATTGAACCTGTATGCTGATTACCACCCGTCATAAACTGAGAAAAAGGAAGACAACTGTTTGTAATATACTGCTAAGAAAATGCATGTATTGTCTCCTAACAGCTAGTGATGTTAAAAGCTCTTTTGAAGTATATAATTATTAATATCCTGTCAGCTTTAGTTTGGTTAAACATTGCTTTGTTTGATTTGTTCTATTAGCTGTCCATACACTGTTATAGACTTTTACAGTTACCTATTTACTGTGTGTCACTGGTACTACTGCATACAAGTTCCTGTTTGTCCACCTCACTTTTCCTCATTACTAGTGTCTGATATTAAACAAATGATACTTGTGTTCTTGCCACCTTTTGATCTGCTCTGCAGCATGTTGCTCCAATGCACTTGAATCATTTGCATTTCACTGTTTTTGCAATATATGTCTGACTCAATTTATTTTGTGGTCAAGCAAATTTTTGTCTTGCTTAACAAACTCTGTCTTTATAGATATACCTGCACCTAAGGTCGTACACGGTGCCAAATGAGCAGCGCTACATCATCCGCATCCTTTTCATCGTTCCCATCTATGCTTTCGACTCCTGGCTCAGCCTGCTGTTCATCAGTAATGCCCAGTATTATGTGTATTTCGACTCCGTTCGGGACTGTTATGAAGGTACAGTAAATCTGAGCTGCTCTCTGCCCTTAGTCTCTCCTGCCCCCTGGGCATAATGTTCACTCTGTATATCACACTGGTGGAATGACGTGTGCTGTTGTTTGGAAGTCTGGCCTGCAGTGAGGGAGGAGATCCTGCTTTACAGACGTGGGGTGGCAGGTTTCATAGAGGGGAAACGGATACATGTTCATTGTAACTGAACAGACCAGTTTGTCATGTTGCAGCTAGAAGGGAGGACGGCCAAATGTCCCTGTTATTATCTTTTCAGGTCTATCCCACTACTCCTAGACAATGACGATTTGAAACACAGTTTTTACTGTGTTATTTAAGTAACATGGGAAAATTCAAGTGTGGGGATTTGTTTTGTTTCATGTAATCCTTCGTTGCACTGAATATAATAGTAATTTCATATAAATGAGTCTGTTATGAAGTTTAGAGTGATTATGTTGTAGTCTTTAATCCACTACCATTCAAAAGTCTGGGGCTGGCAAGTTTTTTTTTAATGTTTTTGAAAGAAGTCTTTTATGCTCATCAAGGCTGCATTTATTTGATTAAAAAATACAGTAAAAACGGTAATATTGTGAAATATTATCACAGTTTAAAAAAATCTGCTTTCTATTTGAATATATTTTAAAATGTAGGCTAATTTATTTCTGTGATGCTGAAGCTGAATGTTCAGCATCATTACTCCAGTCTTAAGTAGGCCTGCTGCGGTAGACGGTGTTTTCAGTTATACTGGTGTTAAGCCGCAACACCGGTTCCGTCATTTGCCTACCGTGTTCATTAATATAAAAACTTCAAAAGAACAGCATTTATTTGAAATACAAATCTTTATTAAAGTATTTACTGTCACTTTTGATAATTTTAATGCATTCTTGCTGAATAAAAGCCTTAATAATAATAATAATAATAACCTTAAATATAATTATATAATTGTAATTGTATAATTTCAAAGGTGTGAAGTCTTAGTCATAGAGACCATCAGTAAAATATTACCACAAATAATACACATTGTACACACTGCGAGACAATGAGATCTAACCATCTAATCTGTCTTTAAAGTCTGTTTGAAGTCTGTTAAGATGGACTTCCTGGACACAAACAACTCCTCAATCTTGACCGGTTTTTGCACAAAGTGACAGGAAATTGCATTTATTTATTTATTTATTTTTCATGTCGAACATATTCTGTCTGCTTATTTAAAACTCTCTGCAAATTCAGCAAATTGTTTATGTTAGGCTTTCATGATTGACTTGTGTTGGTTGTTTTTCTTCTTTTATCATTCTAGCATTTGTGATATACAACTTCCTGAGTCTATCTTTTGAGTACCTTGGAGGAGAAAGTGCCATCATGTCGGAAATAAGAGGAAAACCTATTCAGTGAGTGTCTTTATTTTTTATTATTATTTTTTTTTTAAACAACTGCTAGGTTCATAACCTAGTGATCAGCGCTTTAAGGCATGATAAGTGTGCCTCCTATTTAAAGGCTGCCCCAAATTGTAGACAGTTTAATTATGCTGCCAATCTAACATTTTAATATTTATGCTGCCACTCTGTACCTCATTTTGGCAAAGTTCTAAGGCAGCATCGCATATATCCAGCATGGAGAAGGAATTCCCACAAAATGCATAGTGAAGAGCTTTGAGAAAAGTAAATGCAACATGTTGGCCGTCACCTTAATTTTAAATTTTGTTGTGATCACGCACATGATCACCATGACTCAGCATGTGTGTTAAAGGGTTAGTTCACCCAAAAATGAAAATTAGGCTGCGTTTTACTCAACCCTGAGGCATCCTAGGTGTATATGACTTTCTTCTTTCAGACGAATCCAGTCAGAGTTATATTAAAAATTGTCTTTGATCTTTCAAGCTCTATCATTGCAGTCAGCGGGTATTGCATTGCTTCAGTCCAAAAGAAGTTAAATAAAAAGTGCCCATGCATAAAAAAAAGTGTCTCACATGGCTCCGGGGGTGAACAAATGCCTCCTGTAGCGAATCGATGCATTTTTGTGAGAAAAATATCCATATTCAAAACGTAATAATCACTTGAATCTAGCTTGCGCTCTCTGTTGTAAACGGAAGCAGTTCCGGGGGAATGACGTATGAGGTCAGCTTTGCGCATGTGCCACTCAGAAGTAACGGTCGAGAATTAGAAGTACAAAATGAGAATTTGAAAAAAAGGATTTCAGAGGATTTCGATATAAGCCAAGAGGAGACTGTTTTTCCTTTGCTAAAGTAAGGAAACTTTGCTTCCTTTGATCCTGTAAACAAACGTTGGTTTACACTAGACTTACCGGCGCATGCACAACGCTGACCTCATAGGAACTGTTCATGCTCCTGGAACTGCTTCTGTGTACAACGGCTGGTGCAAGCTAGATTAAAGTGATTATTACGTTTTGAATATGGATATTTTTCTTACAAAAACGCATCAATTCGCTAAAGGAGGCCTTTGTTCACCCCCCGGAGCCGTGTGAGACACTTTTTTTTATGCATGGGCGCTTTTTATTTAACTTCTTTTGGACTGAAGCAATACAACACCCGCTGACTGCAATGATAGAGCTTGAAAGATCAAAGACAATTTTTAATATAACTCTGACTGGATTCGTCTGAAAGAAGAAAGTCATATACACCTAGGATGCCTCGGGGGTGAGTAAAACGCAGCCTAATTTTCATTTTTGGGTGAACTAACCCTTTAACCTCTAGGTTAAGGCTCTGACAACGTTTTCTGTTTTTAAGATTTTCAATTTTTTGTGCAAAATACCTTTATGCCTGGCTTGTGTTTAAAATATAAATTCATCAAATTACCTTCAAGAATAGCATCACCTTTCAAATGTTCCTTTTCATTTGCCTTTAACAGGTCAAGTTGCCTTTACGGGACGTGCTGTTTGGGAGGAATGAGTTACTCCATTGGCTTCCTGAGATTCTGCAAGCAGGTTTGTTCCCGTTTTTCTTTCAAATTAAAATAACTTTTCCTTCACAGCAATGTTTTTCATAACATTTCTTTGTTTAACTTTTTAGAAATCCTAAAATATTCAGATTATTTCCAGTGGAGTCCAAAAGTGTGAGACCAAATTGCAAATATGAGATGTACAATGTTGAAATAAGCTGAAAATTTTAGGATTTTAGTATGTCTCCTATCCCATTCTGTTTTGACCTGCATCTGTATGAGTACAAATGGCTATATGTAAACAGCATGAATATGTTAATAAGAGGGTCTGAATTTCTTTGTCTCCTCAACCTTTATCTACCTTCTCTTCCTGAATTTTCATGAAGTGGCAGCTGTTATATTTGTACTATTGTCTTTCCTGAGAAGCTCCAGTGGGTAAAGTAGGATTAAAAACAATTGGAAGCAGGTGCAAGTCACTCGATAATAAACACAAAAAATAGGTATTGCTGCCAGCCTGATGCTGTCTGCACGGCAGCTGAGGAACCCGCTCGCACTTTGAGAATAATACTGATGAAAATTGGATTTGAGAGCCCCATACCCAAAAAGACTGAAAAGAATGTGAATTTAACTTTTTTTAATAGGAAGTGGAATTTCAGAACACATAAATCTGTCTGACCAGACGCCTACATGTGGGATTTTTCAAAGCATCACCTTGCGATGTAGCGGAGACAGAGCGTGCTTTGATTATTTTGCGACGGCTTTTCTCAAAGACAGCTTCGATTTAAAACTTGAGTTCCACGTTGATGATTCAAGCAGTTGATTCTGACTTGCATGTAGCGAGATTGGGGAAAAAATTCTCCTCTGTGTCATTCTCAATGAGTGGATTTGTCAGTCATGTCGATTATGTAAGAAATAAGCACTTCCTGTCAAAAATAAGCATGCAACATTACCATGCCTTTGAAAATGATGAGGACTAGAAGTTCTCTATCACTCAAACTATATTACAGGCCTGTGTTGACTAAATGGAACCGGCGTAAAAACCAAACCATCACCTTTACTCATCTGCTTCTGTTACTAATGTCATCATCTAGGCCACACTTCAGTTCTGTGTCGTGAAGCCCATCATGGCTGTCATCACCATCCTTCTGCAGGCTTTTGGCAAATATCACGATGGAGACTTTAAGTGAGCCACCTGTCATTCATTCTTTTTTATCTTATATCAACATTCCATAATAACACAACATCTGACTTCTTAAAGAACTGTCTTTTACTCCTTGTCTTGTGTCTTTTCATATAGTGTAACGGGAGGTTACCTTTACATCACCATCATCTACAACATTTCTGTCAGTTTGGCTCTCTATGCCCTCTTTCTCTTCTACTTTGCGACCAGTGACCTTCTGAGACCTTTTGAGCCTGTGCTCAAATTCCTCACCATCAAATCCGTCATCTTCCTCTCCTTCTGGCAAGGTTGGTTACTCTGCATTGTATGTTCAGTATTCATCTCAAGCTGTTCATTAACACATGAAACATTTTATTTGAATATGGTTGTGGACAAGGCAGGACCTTGTTTCTGCCTGCAAATTTTTTTGGTATGTCTTTTTTTTTTTTTTTAGGTATGGTATTGGCCATTCTGGAGCGATGTGGTGTGATCCCAGAAGCTCTGGTCATTGATGGTAATGAGGTGGGGGCTGGTACAGTGGCTGCTGGTTGGCAGAACTTCATCATCTGCATTGAAATGTTCTTTGCCGCCATCGCCCTCCGCTACGCCTTCACCTCCAGTGTGTACCGCGAGAAGAAGAGTGAAGCACCAGGTAATCTGACACTTCAGAAAAACAAAGCAAAACTTTTTAACTTGTTGTTTAGAGGATCTTAGAAACATGTCTCAGCAATCCTTTATGAGGCACCTGAAAGTTTTCTTCCTCAGGAGGGTTATGACTCACAGTTCAGAGGACTGCTGGAAAGCTCCACTCATAGACAGATCATCAAAATAACTCCTGTGTTTTGAGAAAACGAAATCTTCAGCAGGTGTTTTCTTGCCGCAAAACTTTCCTTTGGGAATTTCAGTTGCAACATAATGAGGTCAAATGATGACAATTTCAAGGAATAGTTCAACTAAAAATTACAATTCTGACATTCACCCTTATGTTGTTTGTTTGCAGTAGGGGTGTTATGATATCAGATTTTCACTACACGATTATTGTGACTTAAAAAATTAATGATATCGCAATACCTGTAGAAATTTTGGAGGAAAAAAATAATGCTATCAGTCAAATTCATGATTCATTTTATGTTTTCTTTCTTTTTTTCCACTCATTCACACTCAAAAGACTTGATTTTGAGAGAATCACTCTCAAAAGAGTTTGTAACCTCCTCTGACAGAATTTTGTGTGGCAGTAATAACAACACATTGTGTTGTCGGTAGCTATTTCTTTCTATATTTAATGTCAGTGGCAACCAGAGTTAAGGTGCAATACCACCATCTACTATGCTGGAGTGTCAACCAGACAAACCGCTAGTTACTGCCACTGGAATATTCGTGATATTAATGTACGTGTAATGTTAACAATCAATATATCATTTGATTAAATATCACAGCTATCAAGCCAAGTCACCTTTATTTATATAGCACTTTATGCAGTACAGATTGTGTCAAAGCAGCTTTACAGTATACAGTAAAATAGTGTGTCGATAATACAAGAGGACAATAGTAAACACTCAGTTTTTCAGTTAGAGTCAGTCCATCGTTGATTCAGTGATGTCATCGTTCAGTTCAAATAGTATCTGTGCAATCAAGTCGACAATATTGCCGTTAATTAAGTGTCCCCTATGCAAGCCAAAGGCGACTGTGGCAAGGAACCAAAACTCCATATTTGACAGAAATGGAGAAAAAACCTTGGGAGAAACCAGGCTCAGTCAGGGGGCCAGTTCTCTTCTGGCCAGAGAAACCAGCAGGGTGTGGTTTAATTCCAGGCTGCAACACAAGTCAGAATTGTGCAGATAGCTGTCGAGGTGACAAGGTCTTCACAGGGGATCTGTCTCTGGGGCTCATCTAGTGGACATGGTCTCCGCTGACATTCAGGGCTGTAGAGGTCGTCCCTAGGTGCTGATCCACCATCTGGACTAGATTTGGGTGACTGCAGTGACCATCTGATCTCGATACAGACTGGATCTGGTTGGCTAAGAATGAATGAATGAATAAGAATGAAACGGACTAATATTAGCGTAGATGCCATTCTTCTTATGATGTAACAAGTACATAGGGTGTTATGGGAAGTGTTCCCGGTTCTGGTTGACCTAACGGATGCAGCCTAGCAATCCTTGCAGCTCCTCGGATTTGAATTATAGAAATGTGATAGTGTGTTATGTGTAAGCCAGTTTAAAGAGATGGGTCTTTAATCTAAATTTAAACTGACAGAGTGTGTCGGCCTCCTGAACAACGCTAGGCAGATTATTCCAGAGTTTGGGTGCTATATAGGAAAAGGATCTGCCGCCCGCAGTTGATTTTGATATTATATAATGGCCAGAGTTTTGAGATCACAGCGGACTTTTGGCACTTTTCCACTGCATGGTATGGCACGGCTTGCTTTTGGGGGGTTTCCACTGGGTACAGTACCTTGTACCTGGTACTTTTTTCAGTACCACCTTGGCTGAGGTTCCAAGTGAGCCGTACCGTTACCAAAATGTGACGTGTAAACCCTGCTGATCACTGATTTGTCGGAGAGAATCATCACTACCTGCACTATTAAACCAGCACAGCCAGCGAGGATCGAACGCAACTTTTTTTGAACAAACGCAACAGTTTAGATCGAGTATCATAATAATGGCTGTTTCGTGGTCTGTTGAGGAAGTGCAGGCATTCCTCTTGTTGATAGCCGAGGAGCGGATCCAGCGAGAGCTTGATGGGACGATACGGAATGAAAAAGTTTTTCAGGAGGTCGTGGCAGTAGTGGCGGCACAACTATAATGACATGTCTATAATCCCGCCCACTCTAAAGCGGTACACTGCAGTGGAAACGCAAACTGAGCCGAGCTGTACCATGCAGTGGAAAAGCGCCATTATAGGACTATAATGTGATATGAGCTCGCTCAAGTACTGATGAGCTAAACCATTCAGGGCTTTATAAGTAGCAAGATTTTGAAATGTATATGATGTTCAATAAGGGAGCCAGTGCAGTGTTGACAGAAACGGGCTAATATGGTCATACTTCCTGGTTCTAGTAAGAACTCTAGCTGCTGCATTTTGGACCAGCTGGAGTTTATTAAGCGCGCAGAGCAACCACCCAATAAAGCATTACAATAATCTAACCTTGAGGTCATGAATGCATGAATTAACGCTTCTGCATTTGACATTGAAGACATAGTTTGTAATTTAGATATATTTTTAAGATGGGAATATACTGAGCCTTGTGGTACTCCATACTGCACTTGTGATGAATATGGCTACGTTCACACTGCAGGTAAATGTGACCCAAATCCGTTTTTTTTTGCTCACGCGTTACTCTGATCTGTATTTGTCATGACAGTGTGAACAGCACAAAGCGCATGGAATCTGATCTTTTCAATTCCGATTTGTGCCACTTCCATATGTGGTACTAAATCCGATACATGTCAGATGTTTTGCAATGCGAATGCAGTGTGAACAGTCATGTCGGATTTCATGCGACTTTTACGTTACTCTAGATCGACATTCGTCATAATTCCGCGCTGACGGGAGACACTTCAAAGATTTTTACATACCCAAAGTTATCAAGACAGTTGCGAAAGGTAATCAGTGGAAGTGTAATGTGTCAGAACTCATAAGAATTACAGTGACAACTCTATATACAAACAAAGCATGAGGGCTCGTATCATAAAAGCTTCAAAACTCTGCTGTCTTTTGTCACATCCTTGTCTTTATTTTTCATTATGCTTGCACATAATTTTGCCGGATTCAGCTGCAGATTACACTATAAATAAACGCATAATCGCTTACTTTATGTCCTCCATGTTTACTTCCGTATGACAGCACGCTGCGCAAGTGTTGCCAAATCCACAGTTTCCCCGCGGAATTAGGCTACTTTTCCACTGTTGCCGCGGGAGGTTTTTCAACTTTGTGGGTCGATGCGACCCCACTAACGCGATATTTATCCCCTTGAACATGGCTGTGCTAGTTTTGGACAAGTTTTGAGAAGCAATTGGGCGGATTTTGTTGTGTAAACCTGGAAACCCTGTTCGTATTGTTCTTTTGCGCATGTGGGTCAGTTCAGAACCATGATCTGTTCACACTGTAAAACTGATATTGGCCACATTTAAAACAACAATGTGAACAGCTACACAAAAAAAATCGGATCTGAGAAAAAATTGGAATTGAGCACTAAGGCTCACTGCTACAAATTGATGACAGTCAGATAAGTATGACTTGAACCATGCTAATGCAATTCCACTAATGCCAACATCATTTTCTAGTCTATTCTTGGTCGATAGTGTCAAACGCAGCGCTAAGATCCAGTAGCTCTAATAGAGAGGCAGCCATGATCAGATGATAAGAGCAGGTCATTTGTAACTTTGATGAAAGCCGTCTCGGTACTATGATATAGTCTAAATCCTGACTGGAAATCCTCCAGAACAGTTTAACCCAAATATTCAGATGTGTCCAGTGCATTTTTTGGAGGACTGTTTCCTGATCATGGTAGAGTATACTACAATGTCGGCTGTTCTGTTCACAGACTGTAAGTACGTTTTTTATATTTAAAGAATTTGCCACTGACGATTCAAACGCGAGTTTTTTTGGGCAGTGTAGAGAAGCACTTGTTGTTTGTCATATCTCCGATCACAAATGCAGACATGGTTTTATGTTTACGCTGCGCGATGCAACGCAACACGTAAAAAGACAGTATAAGTCATTATAATTCGTAATTATGTCCCCACTGGATGCAACAAATGCCTCGTTTATTATGGGTTTTAATGTTTTTGTCTCGTCGCTCCAGCCGGACAGGGCATCACAATATGGTAAGGGGCATAACATTTCTGTCACACGCTTGAGGTATTCGGCCAATCACAACGCACTGGATATCTGGCCAATCAGAGCCCACCTCGCTCAAGACTGATGAGCTTTGTAAAAATCGACGCGTTTCAAAAAGGTGGGGCATAGAGGAGAAACAATAATGTACAGTATGTGGAAAATAATGTGTTTTTTTAACCTTAAACCGCATAAACACATTTCATTACACCAAATACACAAAATAATGTTCTTTTTAGCAGCATCATATGACCCGTTTAATAACAGCCAGTTTGAAGGTTTTTGCTGCTGGGAACTGTCAGTACCTGTTGATGCTTTATTTTTCTTTATTTAGCCACTGTACTGAATAAATACCTGGGGTTGTGTTTTTATTCTAAAAGAGATGAAAAGTAAGCAGATCTAGCAGTTTTTAAGGCTTTTCTGTAGGAGGAAGTACTTTCCCTCCATGCAATATGAAATGCCTCTAGTTTTGTTTTCTTCCAACTGCTGTCTTTAGGGCACCGTTTTCCTTAATCTTCTTCAAGCTTAAAGGAGCAACTGTATCTAAAGTGCTAGAAAAGAGTCCATAGTTTCGGTTACAACGAAGTTTTTCTGAGCTATTGGATATGCTGGGGAATTGAGAAGTCTCAAAAGTCTTTTGTTGTAGAAGTGATGGTTCTACCATGTTTGTGACAAGGAGTTGAGTTTGCTGCTTTAGCTACATGGAGTATACACAAGACTAGATAATAATCTGAGATATCATCACTGCTGCGGAATTTCAACGCCATTAACATCAATTCCATGTGACGGTATTAATTCTTAAGTATGATTACA